TGAGAGCCACCTCTGGCACCCGTGCCATAGGTTCGCCACCACTGCTATGGACTATTAAGATGCCAATTGAGGGGCAAAAGTATGTCCGTGAAGGGAGACAGGCAGGTAGGGGAGATTAAAATGAACCATTTTGGGCCCAGGATGCTAACTAGGAAGTGCTTTCTATGTCACCTTGAGTTGCATAAAGAAAAGAGAATCAATACGATAGATGTTGTTGTTTTCATTCAGATTTCTCCATGCCACAGAGATTAGGGCAGTGGTGGTGAACCTATGGCACGAGTGCCAGAGGTGGCACTCAGAGCTCTCTCTGTGGGCACGTGCACCGTCGCCCCAGTCCTAGGCCTTCAGCTGGGTTTTATAAAACCTTTTTGCTTTAGGCCTCCGCCGCCGTGTGCAAAAAAAAAAAAAAGGTTCAATCAGCCAATTTCAACTTCTCACGGGAAAAAAATAGATCTTGCAAAGTTGGAATTGATTGAACTTTTTAGTACCACCATAGCCACGCCCAGCCAATGGGCCATGCCCACCCAATGGGCCACACCCAGCCAATGGGCCACATCCACCCGGCACTCGACGATGCATAAGTGGGTTTTGGGTTGCAGTTTGGGCACTCGGTCTCTAAAAGGTTCGCCATCACTGGATTAGGGCTAATAGATGAACTTGAGACAGATGGAAAAATACTGTAGGAAAATATTTTTAAATAGCAGACATTACGTGTTACAAGCTTTAGACAAATATTAGGAAGTGGCTGGGTGTGAAACCCTATTAGGAAACATATTACAAGAAGTGCCAACTGAAAGTCACAGATGGTGTAAGATAATACCCGTGTAGGGCAATGTGGTAAGATAGCCTATTGTATGAACTTCTCCTTTTTCCTTATGTTCACGCTAGATATACACTTCTCCCTTTTACTGTGTTAAAAGTAGATAAGAGTCACCCCTTGGCAAAGCAGTGTTGAGAACCTGTATAAAAAGCAATGCCCTGGATGTAGCCCAGGGTTCAGAATTTGTCATGCGAATGCTCTGAACCTTTGCGCAAATAAACCTGTTTTCTCCAACCCTTCGTGGTCTTGTCTTCTGAAGTAACTACAAACTGAGGTCTTCTGATAGTTGAGCCACTATCTCCATCTCCACCATATTAGATCTGCAACAAAAATGACAGTGTAGGGTGCCCCTTTACATAGAGCAGCCTTCTTATTTATTTTATTTATTTATTT